GAAGTAATCAGCATACTGGTGACTCCAACTTAGTTAAGCTCTAAGTTTCAAACTTCACTTCTTTACAGTCTCCTCCTGGTCTCAGTAATGTTTTTCTAATGCCTGTAGCCTTAAAACAAAAATCCCTAGGAGCTCTGCTAATTAAGCAATTTAGTTCAATCAACTTATCCATTTTTTGTGACCTAACAAACTAATGTTGCACTACTAACCTCTCAACTCTTGGAATCAAAACAGATACCTGTTGATGCCTAAGACTGCTTTTGACCACAGTAATCGATACATACCTAGCTCCACAACAACCTCATATCATCAGAAATTATGTGCCAACCTGATGACTAACCTGTAAACTACCTCCAGCTAACATGTTACACAGGATCTAAGAGGTGTCTATGTATTACCCTTGAAACTTTAAAATATCTTACAATGTTCCAGGCCACCTTGGCGCACAATTTGGGAGATGTGAAATTGAAATACAGACCTTCATCTGAACCCTGTCCCAGACCTTATTATTTTCTTCCCTTGTCTTTGAAAGCATCACATCTAACCAAATTAATGTGTTTCAATTATAATAAATTAATATATAATAAATTAATATTTATTTATTTTTAATTAATGTTATTGGTATACTTTAGGTATACAGCATAATGACATTCATCATTGGGAATTTGTACCTTTACATAATCTATCTTGGTTCTTAATTTTTCCCCATTCCTCTACCCTCCCTTCAACCCCTCCATTCCTCTCTATTTACATAGACTTTGTTTCTATTTTTTTTCATTTTCTTATATAAATTCTATTCCCTTCTTTCCTTTCCCCTACCCCTCCCACTTTTCCTTCCCCTTAGCCCCTTTTCTTACCATTTCACATTATATGTTATACCTTTTAGTCTTTATTGACACTTTCATTTCTCACACCAGAGAAACTATTCAGTATTTACACGTGTGCCCTATTTATTTCACTTAAGAGTAGAGGCACAGTTTGTAATAGCTAAAACTTGGAAACAGCCTAATTGCCCATTAACTGGAGACTAGATAAAGAAAATGTGGGTTTTTTTTTTAATTAAATGGAGTACTACTCAACCATAAAGAATGAGAAACTAGAGACATTTATAGGTAACTGGACGCACACTGAGGTCAGTTATTAATATTTAGTGCAGAGATACCATCGTAGTCTTTTCTGGGTCACTGTTAGGAGGAGCAGCTACTGTAATATAGGTGTTCTGACATCAAGATATTATTTCTACCTTACCACTTATCTTGATTTCTAAAACCAAATCTTTAACTCCTTGTATCTTAAATGTATACTTGGTCCTCATTATTTGCAGATTCCTTTTTTATGAGTTTGTTTCCTTATTAAAAATTTATTTCTAATATTAAAAATCAATACTCATAGTGCTTCTGTAGTTATTTCCAGTCACAAGAGTGTAAAAAATTTCAGTCACCCAACATACATCCCTCTAGCTAAAGTCAGATAGCACAATGCTCCGCTTTCTTATTTAAGCTCTTATTCTGTAAACGTGTGTCCTTTTCATCATCTATTTAGTATTACATTCTTTATGCTTTGAGTTGATAATTTTCTGCTTAAAGTGGCCCCCAAGAATAGTGCTGAACTCTTTGTGGTCTAGTGTCTTCAGGTCTCAGTATGGCGGCATGCACCTCACTTAGGGTGGATAAGCTTTGCTCCAGTGTAATTAGTGCTAGTGGCTGTGAGTTGAATGTTAGTGTATCAACAATATATATTAAATGAAGTGTCTTTAAAAAAAAATATGAAACAGGGTTGTGTGTTGAGCAGTTGACAAAAAGCATAACGAGAAACTCAGAGGAGTCTAATTCTGTATTTCTCCTAGGCACAGTAATACAGTATTTGGTAATTTAATGTTCACAGTGAATTTATAAAACTATTGTAGTTGATGAGATCTGCCTATACAATAGTCTGACAGATTTGTCTATTCATTTTCCAACTACCCCACAAGGATAATCAGAAAACTCCTACGTATCTGAAAGACGACACAGCACAAGTCTCGGCAAGAAGCACACAAAATATAGGTGCATGAAGTAGATGAAGTATAGACCTGAATGAAAAGTAGGGTCCTTAATGGTAAGGTGGGAACACAGAAAGAGTAAGCTTTGCCCACTTCTAATGGTAGGCTGGAGCTGGCCTGGAGGTCTCAGACACCAACATCCCCGTTAAATATATATTGATTGCCGAGAGGCAACTTGATGGAGAAGTTGACCCTTCAAGGTCTTTTCTGTATCTCCTTTTTTAAAAGGAAATTTCTTTCTCATAATACAATCAATTCTTTGGGAGAGGGCTCAGACAGGTATGTTGGAAAAGAAACAGGTCCCACTGTCGAATAGTCTTTCCTGATTTGGTACAATGGAATTTGTGTATGTAATGTACACTTAGTCATTATATTCAGATAAGAAGCCAAGAAATTATTTAACTACAAAATGAAGCCTTTTGTGTGCCAAAATTAAAAGTATTTTAAAAATAACAATTTGTACATACAGTACATTTCTCTCTTCCTAAATTTTAAGTGGTGTGAAGTTCATCTGATCAAATCACTTGAAATGTTGAGATAGAGAAATGACAATTCATGTGACAATGATACGACATTTTATCTAAAATTGTGGGTTTTTTTTTCTTTTTACAGCTCATGAATGAATAAATGAATGATGGCTATAAACTTCCTCAGCCTTTTAGATAAATGGCTGTCACAAAAATATGAAAGCTAACAAAGCAGAAAAATGGCAAGAGAGGGAATATGTCTTGAGAATTATAGTGGGGTTTAGTGCCAAATGCTTTGAGAACATAACTCTCATGGTCTATTACCTTATTTTACAAGTTACTCTGTAATTGAGGAGATGATCTAATTTGTTATGGGCTCAAAAGGCTGACTATTCTTTTCTTCTTTCAATTCTCACATCCTTTTTCTCTGTCATGTTCCCATCTTCAAAAGAAACAATCTCTCTCTCTCTCTCTCTCTCTCTGACAAATACAAATACGTACAGTACTCTGCATACAATACATACAGTCAAAATATTATAATGAAGGGAAAACAAAAAAAGATGATCATTCCCTTCCCAAATTTCACATTCAAGAGAAAGTAGTAGACATAAAAGGAAGCAGTGTAATAAATACTATTATAAGCAGAAAGAGTTAGAGGTGGTGAAAAGATAGGGTCATTATTATTAAAGAATAAAATGTGAGGAGAGAATATCTGAAAGATGGTCATAGTTTTGCAGGTATAAAATGGGTACGTTAAAAACACAGGAAATTACAGTTTCTGAATTCTAAATTTCAATCCCATATGGTTAAGTATAATTAGTATTGCCTGATACAATTTATCAAATTCTGTTACCTTTAGGAATGGGCCATGGAATTATTACGAAAGGAAAACTTATGGCTTAAGAAAAGATCAGAAGATAGTGTCTGGGCTCTCAAGTGGAATGGACTGGGTATTTTAGAAGAAGACAGATGTCAATAAAGAGCAAAAAAGTATTTCTGGCGGTGGTCTGCCCCAGGCTTCATTTTCAGAAGCACTGAGTTGTGCTCTGAGTACTACAGTCAATAGGGACTATGTCTCTATTTAATGGCTTCAAAGACTCCAGGGATTGGAGAAGATCCACCCCACATCTAAAATCCTCAAAGAATTTGAGAAGTATTGCCCAGAGAGAACAATACTTCACAGATACTTCTTCAAATACCTGAGAGACTACATACAGCCTATGAAGAAGATGGTTGTACTTGCAATGTAAGGTTTGTTAGTAGGTTGGTTTTTGAAGGGGGGGTGTTGGTGTAGGTGCTCAATGATTCCTCTGAGAGGAGATTTCCTACGCAAGCTCAGCAGATATATGGTTGTTTCAATGACCGGCCTCAGAGACAACTTGAGGTGTTGAGCATGTAGATACTATCTAGGGCTGGCACATCGAGGTCATTACCTGTAAGGTATGTGCAGCTGTTGAAAGATTTAAATGTAGCTGGTGCAACATGTTGAAATGCTAAAACTACCAATACATTTGACTAAATGAAATATATGATTAAGGTCATAATTAATGTCACTTGGGCCTTTTTCATTTTCTTTTTAGTGTCTATCGTAGAACTTTCAAAATTTAAAATATGGCTCATTATAATTCTATTGGGTATCCTTTCCTTGAAATCAGTATAGCATAAACCCACTCTCTGCTTCAATCATAATAGCCAGAAATCTATCTGGGTCCACAGTTACTCTTCTGCATACGTAGGTTTGAAGAATGAGTCCTGGAGCTAATCAAACTGTACCCTACTATGTCAAACTGTTGTTAAGGAGGGAAAGAGACTTAAAGTGAACTATTATGCAGAAACTAAATGGAATGAGCTAAGCTATGTGTCTTAGAGATAGATTCAGGCATATTGATGAACAAAACAAGTTACAAGTGATACAAAATATGAGTTTTCAAGGCAAATATAATGTGTATATTTAAGGTTTGATTCTATAAGTGATTACTTAGGTAATGGTTCAGAAAACTCACACCTTCCTGGCACCATAATTCTAAGGATGGGAAGCTAGTGCTATGGGTGACTGGAGAAGATTTGATATAAGACTATCGAGTCTTATGCATAATGTTTGAATTATTTTTTACAAGGAAAATATACTTATCTATAATATTATTGTTATTATGTTAACATTACTAAGTTGAGTGATCTCATTTCTTTCCAGCCCAGAATTCTCTGATCTGGTAGGAAGATAGTGTTAGCAATAGGTACTAATAGAAAGTAGCAGGGATGTCCCTAAATCATGAAATTTGGGAAATAATAATGTAGATGAGCATCACATCTTAGGATATTGAGTACAAATCTGGGGTTGTTAGGATCACTCATCCCTTTATAAGTAGAAAGTCTACCACCTGGTCTGACTAAATACAGAGCAAAAGATTACACTGAGTAATTAAAAAATGAAGAAGACCTTAACTCTTTGGGATCTGTTTTGGTCAGATCTGAACTAAAGAGGCCTCACATACCCTGATCATCAGCACAGCCTTTCTGATGTCCCGAACACCATCATACACCAGGCGAGAGGCATCAATGAACTCATTTTCTTCAAAGGGTTGAGGGACATTGGCACTCAGGGCTTCAATGGCAACCTCGACTTGTTCAGCAAACCGTGGCATCACTGGATTAGACAAAGAGAAAAGCAGTGGAGTTAGCAGTCTTTCTCTCAGTATCTCTCCTGTAGCCCTTGGGTAGGGTTGCAGGACCTTCTCTCCAGTTTGTGGTGGACCCAATATAGTGGTCTTTGTGCTCCTTAAGCACCAGAGGGGCATGGTTATGGTTTGCAAAAACAAAACTTATGAAAGCCATCCAAGGTAGTAGGGTATAGTATATGAAAACCTGAGTTGAATTCCACATCTGCTTGGTACCAATGAAAACACTGGCCAAGTTTTCTTAACTCTTCCAAACCTGCTTCTCAGTCTATAATTCATAATAAGATCTTGCTCCTGGATTCAATAGGATAATGCATACAAAAGTATTGAATGGAATCATCAAAAAATTTTTAATATCACAAAATACAGTCATAGATGGTGAACAGCAGACCTTAACCCACATGGCTTCAAAACAGCAGGTGAGTAATATGATCTCATCCATTCCACTTTTGTCAAGGATGCAGTGATGAGGGGGAGGGTTTTGTGGTGGAAATGGTGAGAGTTTGTAGAAAGACTATCTAAGAGGAAAGGGAAAACACAAGATACTCAGCAGAAAGACCTACAGGTATTATTAGGGAGCTCAAAGATAAACTGTTCCATTTTATCAAGACCACTTGATGTAAAAGAAGATGCACAGATAAGTTTTGAAAATGCTGACATCTCTTTCTTTTCACAGGGACACCTGCATACCCCCTGAAGGTTTGTGGAAAATAAACTCAGTGGAATGTCTGGACTACTTAAAAAATGCTGCTGATTCACTGATTCTCAAAAATTTTAATTCAATTTTCTCAGCTGTTATCTTGTAACAATCAACTGGCAAACAAAAGCCAAAAGCACAATTCATTTTATTTACAAGGATAATAAAATAGAAACATTATTCATCTATTTCCATTTCTGAACTTTCACGCCTGATTCATCTTTATACTCATTTTCATTCTCTGTGGATATGGTAACATCCATTTTAATCCCTGGTGTGAGAAACTCTGCTAAATTACTTTACTCTCTAGGGTCAGAGTATTCAAGATAAAACATTCCTACAAAAGTACATTTCTACCAGTAAAAATCAAGTATTTTTTTAAAAAGTAGAGGGAGGGTTAGAGTGATGTAGAGTAACAATTTTTTTGACAGACACTATCAAAACCAAAATATATGTAGTGTGAATTTTCTTCTGCAGTTGAATTATTATGATTTTCATTTGGGATTCTGAACTGCATTTAGATGGAAAGAATTTGGGGAATACTGAGCTATGCTGATGCAAATATGAATCAAGTAAAATTGAGGTGACTGATACACTATTGTGCCGATTTGATCATTATGCTGTATGTACGTGTCTTAAAACCTCACACTGGGTCTATAAATCTGTACCATGATTATACAGAGATTTCCGGAAAAATTACAAAAAATTACACTTCTAAAACCAGTACATTAAATTCATGTTTGGGTGCTATAAATATACATTATGATTATATGTCAATTACAAATAAAAGTTTTAAAACTGTATTTCTAAAACCAATATATTAAACTCAGGTTATTTTAGGTATTCTTTTGTATTGGGAATAAATCTTTTTGCATGATTGAACAATACGGATAATTGAAATTGACCTCCTTGAGCACGAAAGTATTTTTGTGTTCATTTGACATTTGAAGATGAGTATCTCTCTTAAATAAAACTAGAAATTTCCTTTCTTAAACTGAAACTTCTGAGTCCTATTAATTCTATTCTGTTTGATGGCTAAGATGCCATGGCCAGGAACATCAATGATTTCACAGCTTTACATAATATCAGGTGACACATATATGAATATGATTTCTTGCACCTATTGTACATCTGATAAAGGATTAGTACTCTTATATAGAGAGAGAATAAAGACATCTGAAAATCAATAAAAAACAAGCACTATATTCAAGAACTCTGGATTACTGATAAATACACAATAAGATGCTTGGCTTCACTAATAATTGCAAAAGTAACAGTGGAAACAATCAGATATCATTTCATACTGGTGGTGGAGGGGTACAAACAAATTAAAGCATAATAATTTTACTCAGGATGGATACAGGGGAACCCTTCTATAGCAGAATATATATATATAATATATATATATTCAGAATATATATATTCGATATATATACTGGGTATTTTGACAAAATCTAGTAAAATGAAGCTTTCCAGTCCTCAACAGTAAATTGGGGAATATTTAAGCTAGAGGGTGACTAAATATTAATTCTTAAAGAGATGCGGAGTAGGCAGGCTGAGCAACACTACGCTGGAGTCGCAAGACTATCTATGTCTTTGTGTCTCTATGGCTACAGTTGTTTCTTACTAGGTTGCAAATCCTAAACGTTAAGAAAAAGAAAATTATGTAAAATGTGAGAATGAAAATAACTGCTTTCCCATAATCCTCTTAAGGAGCTACGCCCCAGTTTTATTCTGATTCCTCCACTTGGAAGGAACCACTGTGAAGTGCTCACTCCAGATTCACAGGCAGTATATCAAGACCGACCAAGCATGTGAATTCAGGGGCAGCCAAACTGAGACCTGAAGTGGAAGTTTGACCAGAAAAAGCCAACTGAAAAAAAAGGTCATAGATCATTTGTGAGAAATTTTAAAATACAGAGTACTTTGTATAATTTAAAGGTGTTCTGATACTTCCTGAAAGGACAGATATTGCTTTAGATGAAGTATTTACTTTTGAGTTAGAAAAAAGAGGCATCTGTTATATTAGTGCCTGGTCTTTTATTATCTTTCAATTATTTATAAGCAAATAATTATTATTATTTATAATTCAAATATTTTAAAAAATATTCTCAAAAGTGAACAATAGGCTATAAAAGAGGTCTCTGAAAAAACAATGTTCTATTACATGGCATAGAACAAAACAGAAACCAATTTGATCAATAGCACTAACAGGAGAAGTCCCTTAGAAGTTCTATGATCAAATGCTTAATAGTCTACCTTAGTAAATGTCACCTGGAAAGCTGATTTATGTTGCACTTACTTCCCATACCTTGCCCCCATGAACACATCTCTACGTGCTTGAAGATCTTTGTGAGTTTAGAAGGGTGAAGCAGCTGTATCAGGGTGCTGTATCTGTGCAATGTTACCCTGAAGAAAAACTGAGAGGGAACAGCAATGGGTGACAGGCGATCTTGCCTCAATTACCTATCGACCTGACTCTGTATTCAAGGGAGAGAGAAAAAGTTAAATCTAAAAGGAGCATTTTCATGAGGGATGCTCTGAAGAAAGGGGTCTGAAGAGGGGTGTCAGAGAAGACAGAAATAAGGCCCTTTTAGGAAAATATTGGAAGAGAAATACCATAAGGGTTTTAAGGAAAAAAAATAAATAGTGGGGGGAAAGAGGTAAAAACCTTTTTTTCTGTGCTCTGCTCATTAATTAGCACACTCAAGGCTTATTTTTATACAGCTAGTCAATGCTGCTCCTCTGTAATCAACACAGCTTTGCTCTTCACATTGTTGCTCCCTTCCCTGGTTTAGTTTTACCTTGTTTTGCTTTTTTAAGAGTGGTAAGTCAGAAAAACAAATGTTTATAGAAAAAATGATCTCTCCTGGCAGAATCCAAAATATTAGTTTAACTATGAATTCTTCTAACATTGCGGTAGTGTCTGAAAAATTAAATGCCACAATTGCAATACTAAGAGAGAAAAGGTTTTAGATTACTTCAAATATGACATTGTTCTGCTTCTCGCTAATTGGGACAAAACATAGCTTTGCCTTTGAGATTCGCACATTACACATTAACAGAGTTTTTGATATCAGATTATATAAATAAAAGTTTCTACTTTCTGAATTGTATCCAAAAAAGTAGGCACTGCTTTACCATTATTTTTCAGAAATGCTGAATTGCTCTTAATAGCTTGTCCTGAACAAGTGATCAAATTTGGGAATAAACTTTTAAATTCTAGCTGTACTTTTGTATGCACACTGCATAGTGTAGGCCACAAAAAGATTACATTCCAGAAGTAATGAAATCAGAGCTAAGTATGCATATAAAAACCAAGGTCACAACTTTCTGGTGTTGATCGAGATCCTAAACCCTAAGTGAGGAAGTTTTCTCCAGAGAGTCTTCAGAGGCAACGTTTCAGACCACAATGTGTGTCACCCAAATGAATGAGAAGCTCTGTTAAGGTGCAAAAAGGACTGCTAAAAACTGTAAGGGAAAAATCCAAGGTTAACCAGAGATAGGAGAGAAGAAAAGCCAGCCAACCCCATTGCCTCTGAGCAACCGTCTAAAAAGCCTGTGTTGCCACCTTCAACATTTCAGTGCTTCCCTACAATGCAGAGGGAACTGTAACACCGCTTTAACAAGATACAAACACAAATAATCAACTGACACCTACAGTTTGTCTTTCACTGTTTCACCGTCTATTTCTACATATATTTAAATGTTCCAATAAGACTGAATTATGACTATATGCCCAAATATGACATGGAGACAAAACATTTCATCCCAACATATCCATGAATAACTTATTCTGTCATACTGAAATATACTTCCTTCTCTTTGGTCATATGAAGGACGTGTATCAATCTTCAATTTCCAAGGTTTAAATTAACTGCCATCATGAAGCTTTCCTTTGTCCCTAGATACCACAAATCATACATTTTTTTTGTAATTTATAGCATCCTGATCATGGACACATCACTGCAGACTTGGAACATTAGGATTGTTCTCTGGCATTTCTGTATGTCAACTGCTTTGCATATGAGTCAGTTTTAGGAAGAGCCCATATATTCTTCTTTCTTTGCATTTTAAGCCCCTGTCATGCTCTGGCTCAGAGACTCTAATTGGGAAGAGAAAAAATAAGAGGCAAAAGAATGAGATAAAAGGAAAAATTCATTCACTACTGAACACTCCAGGGACAAAATGAGTAGAATCATATCTCACTGTATCTCTTTTTCAAGCCATCATTTCATATTGGTTCAGTAATTTTATTAGTTTCATAAGTCA